CTTGGTGTAACAAAAAAAAATAGCACATTAATACGGGGCGGATGTTTTTGATACTTTCGTTACAAGGCAGAAGCGACATTTTTCACACGTTGAGTGCCGCACGATTTTGCTGAGAAAAATATATAAAATGAAAGTAATGTAATATCAACTTAAGTTATTGAATTACGTTATTATTGTTGCAAATTTATCTTGTTGAACGCCATTACATTAATATTATTTATAATATAGAAATGTTTTCAAATAATCACCGTTTAATTGAGTGAATTATAATGATTTGATTTGGTTGGGGATCGCCGGTGATTCACTCATTCATGGCATTCAACGTGTTAATGATTTAGCACTCGAAAATAAGACGAGGACAATTTATAATCTCGTCGTTGAGAAAGTATCGGCGCACTACTTTTAACACGAATGTTCCCTCTAGATAGTGACGCAACATCAGTCGATAAACTTTAAGGAATAAAAATGGATTTTTTGTCGCTGTTAAACGCACGGTTACCGTGTAAATCAGCGCCGCGCCGATACCTCTGCTTCGTTTTATTCTTAAACGCTGAATTATTAACATTTGTAAATCTACTTCGTTTCTGTGTGTAACGAGTATTAGAAATGTTTCAACTGTATCAACATGCTATTTTTTTCATGTAAAGTTATCACGAAGAAACCGTGAATACGAAATTTTGTTGACCTACAAATCTGAATTCGAGATGGCTTCGAACCAAAATAAAATGGTTCTCTGGGATTCATCCGAAGGAAACATGGTTTTTTTTTATCGAGTCTCGGAAGATAGGTCCCAAGCTATTTCTGACCAATGCTGAATTACTGAACTCTCGAGTAGAAATATTTTAGAAATTATTGCAGCGGCGACGTATAAAAAATACTGATGGGAGATTAACAAATTGAATATACTTCACAACATAAAATATTTAAGAATAAAATCTGAAGAAAGGAACAGGTGTTGTAATATAAATCAGGATAACTTATTTTTTTTCAAATTCATCCCTTCGGTTATTTCAATCTCCAGTTCCAACGGTTAAGACGATGATTTTGATTGCTGATGAAATCGACGAAAAGTAATGAAAAGGTACTTTTAGGAACAGATTTTGACATGGCGCCTATTTCATTGAAAATCGAAATGATCGGTTGAATTTATGGCATTCTCATATTACTGATCTGTGCACGCGTAATAAGTATGATTTTTTAATGACGTACGAAGAAAATCTTCATTTAAAATAAAAGTCTGGTATACCAATATTTTACCGTGCAGATTAGACTTTATCTTCGTATTACAATTTATATTGAGATTTATGACCCTGGTACTTTCGTATCGCTCGATAAATCCGGGGTCAATATTGTTGAGCGAAATACTGACCAAACTGATTATGTAATTTTACGAAACGTTGTCCAATTCGTGTTAAAGTTACATGGTCGTGAACTGAATAGGTATTTACAGCTAAAAATATAATATAAACAAAAGTACGATTAAGACAGAGAAATCAACAAGATACATCTCTAAAATAACGACATTAGGTACTGTTTCGTCACCATCTTTTATGCAGTAACTAATTAACTCTAGTTCGCAGAATATTTTCTCTCATTTACTCACCAGGATCGAAATCGGTCCCCCCAGCATCCATGCCGCCTGGGTTTCCATATCCTGGGAAAAGAACAAAATTCATCGTTAATAACAGCAACGGGCCATTAATGATTCTAACCTAAAATCTCATATTCCAATTCGTTCTGAACGAATCGAATACATCTGATAAATCCAATGGTATTATCGCGGCGGAACAGCAACCTATCCAATTTTCGTGCCGTATTAGTAAAACAAATGGGGCAATCATGTAAATCCGTGGCGTAGTTACGACATTTTGAAATCCCACAGCCGAGATTAGAAATTCAAAGGCAACTTCTAGAACGAGACTCAAACGAAGATTGGAGTAACCATGGATTATCAACAGCCTCGAATACAAACTCCGACTACATCAATTGTTGCTAATTGCCGGTAATGCTCATACAAATTTCATGATCACTAAACGATATTACGAACGCGTTACGACAATAGCGCACGGTTACAATTATCTTTCGCGAACTGTTCATGGAAAGCATTGCATAATGTTTAACGTTGTCAACTAGGCGAAATCAATGGTACATTCCCTCGTGTCGAAATTTACAAGCGTACTTTTCAATTCCAACATGTATACATGCGGTGGTACCGATACATATCCGAATCGGACCCCCGCGGTGGCGAATCTATGTACTCCATGATCGATGTTTTAGTCAGCGGTTCATTTTCAGTCAGAATTTCAAGCCAGACACCGGCGAACGATAATCAAGCCTCGTATCGATTGAACGTTTTTAAATGATAAATTGAATTACTCCCATCGCCAGCAGATACATGTCGTGACCGTTTTGTTTCGAGGCCAAGATCCACCAGCTTCTGGGGTGGGGATCGCCTATGGCACGTGTGAAATTTACGCGCATCGTGACTAGACGGTTCCTCCGTTCGTATAGGTACGAGGACCGTCGGCCCGTGTATCGGTGCGGTTTTCCGTAGCCGTGTATAGGTAGCATGCACGTTCGTTCGCGCGCGCGAAATCATGTGCGTGTATGCGTGTGCCAGATAGGTGGATCGGCAGGTTACATCACGCGTGGTTCATTCGGGACTATTCCGGTTGTCCCGACGAGAGCGCGGTCAGGGTGCCTGTCACACGGAACACTGACAACAGTGAACGGTTCCCAGAGGCCGCGACTTTCAAAAGGAACACCTGGGTGAGAACCGGCATTCGCGAACAGCTCGGCGTATTGGCTCCCTGCAAATGTTCGACTCGCTAAGGCCGGAGATGAGGGAACGAGGAAAAAAATGTTGGAGGGAGAGGAGCGGAACAGTATAACGGAGGGAGCAAAAACTTAAAAGCACGAAATAGAGAAAAAAAGCGAATAAACGTGCACGCGTGTATGGGTGGCATATTGTGTACGTATGCGTGTGTATGCATCGGAGGGAGAGAGAGAAAACAAGCGAATTCGAAAGAGAGAAAAAATGAGTACGAACCGCGAGGTAAAGAGGGAGCCAGAGGGAAAGAGCGAGAGAGTGAGAGCTTGTGGGAAAGAGATGGGGTAACCGAGAGAGGGAAGGAGATAGAGTAAGACGAAGGAGGAAAGAGGACAGGGTTTGTCTCTCGGCCGATACGCGGCCGGCCATCTTGGATCCTGGGTAACGTTGAAAAATAGCAATTCTTTTCGGCGGTTGACAGAACGCCACGAGGGCTGAAAGGAACGATCGGGCGTGTGCAAGCTCGCTGTGCTTACGGACTGTGCGCGGTGTAACGGCGCGGTCCGACCGCGTCGGAGGTCGTCGCGTTCGCTCATGGAAAAAGACGGTCCTGGTAACCGGAGGCGCAACACACGGTTCCACGGCTACGGAAAGATGTCGGGTCGCGCTCGTTCGCAACACATATCGACGATTGTATACGATAGGGAATAGGTGGAGCGATCGTGCATGCAGAGCCGTACGATCCCTTGGTCCTTACTTGGCGGTTGATCGTCCAGACTTTCCCGGTCAGACATTGCGCTTAACGCGGTCTCTTTCTTCGGTTCCACGCGTCGTCCCTCGACGTCTCGGCAACAGGCCCCGACGATCAAAAATCCCCGGCACTGTCCGTGGCGCGATCCCGATATATCACCACTAACCAGCCAGCTCACCAACCCAGCACACCACTTGCGAATTTTTCACTTCTTCACACACCACGGTCCGACCGCCGACCGACCGTCCGTCCACGGCACCAGTCGTCACCACCACCACCACACGCTCGCTCGCTCTACACCGTTCCACGCTCGCTAGCCCGACTCGCGCTCGCCCTCGCTCGCTCGCTCGCTCGCTCGCTTCTTCGTCTTTCACTCTCGCTCTACCGCCAATCCCTGTTCGCGATACGAGAAAGCGAGATACCGCTATACTTACTCTACGCGAACCCACACACTCCTGACCTTTCGTCGTGTGATCTGCGCGTGTCCATCTATATAAGACTGCTTCATAGCCACGACACGATCCGCTACGTCTGTCTTCCTCCTTTCGATGGCGTCTATCTTTCTCCCTCTCTCTCGCACACGTTCGCTCTTTTTAGCGGTTCCTATGGTTTCGTCTCTTTCTGACTGACTGACAAACTCATTTTCCAGTCGGCTGGCGGCGCCACTGCATGCCCGGTTGTATATCGTTTTGTATCGTATCGTATCGTATCGTATCGTATCGTATCGAATTGAAGCGAGTCGAGATACGAGTAATAACCGTTTTACGTTCGAGTTGATTCGAGCTATCGAAACCGTTTCAGTGACAGCTACTACGTGGATTGAAATTTGAAACGGAAATACAAAACGCTTCTTTGATTAACGCATTCGGCAATAAAACAAATTAAACAGAGGTTCAAATAAAAAAGGGAAATATTAATTTATATATGACGAATATCGAAGGAAGTTTTGTAACCCAAAACTTGATGAAATGCTACAAATGTTCTTTTATATAAAGATAAATGAATATATTTCTCACATTTTATTTTATTATGCTATATTTTAATTGAAAACAAGGTCCAATTAATATCTGATAACTATTTTATCGATTAAGTTTTGTATTTGAAGAATTATTTACTTACTAATATATTGTTTAAATAAGTTCTTTATTAGACAATATAGGTTTAATATATGTAAATTACTAGTTTAAAAAATTAGATATAAACCCAATATAAAAAGATATTGATAAATTCATTTTGTCACATTTAAATATACAATGCTTCTGTATTGGCATGTATATCGTTGAATTAAAATTTATATTTAAGCAAAGTAAACAAATTCATTTTAGGTATAACTTATTATATCTAAAAGATTTATGCAGAAAAATTTATAGATTGATCATTATTTGTAAATACCAAAACAATCAGCAGTGTGATGAAATAGGTATATTGGATGAGGTAAATAAAAATATTTGTAAGGCCGGAAATAAATGATCGTATATTTTCTAATTATGTATCATTCATGGCTTATATTTTTGTTTCTCCCATAATAAATATTTTGGTAGCAAATCAAGAATACTATAAGTTAATTGAAACATTTTATTCATATTTTTTAAGCAAAAACACAACATCAAGTCCACTTATTCCTTACACGTTTGTTTTTTAATCCAACTAAAATATAATTATATGATAACATGACTTGTGTAAGATGCAATGTTAATGTCTATAATGCTTATGAATGTATGCACGTCAGTTGTAAATACTTGATGAACATGTTGATGTATGAAAAAATCAATGTATTCATTTTTTGTATGCATGCCCAGATAAAACCATCATCGCCATGAAGCATACTAGCTCCGTTTCATCACTATCATTTTCATGATTTAACAAATTTCAACTGTTCACAAGTCACTCGATAGCCTTTGTTCTCTCATCGAGGTGAATGCTTTGAAATGGTTACAAAAACGGCTGCCGCGGAATAAGGCACACAATTGATGCAACGCGCATTTAATATAGCGATACATTTATCTTTAATGTAGTTCAGTTTTCAATGAATTTCTAGAAGTATATGGATCGTCCTGTATATTGTGTTATGTGTATGGTGCCTAGGGAATCTAAAGCTTCGCAGGAACGATTGTGCTTACATCGCTGTTGTGATAATAGTTTATTATTATCGTTATTATTATTAACATTATCATTATTATTAATATTATTAATTATTATACTTGATGTTATAATTATTTGGATGATCAGTTGTTTTGAATATACAGGTATCTTTGAGGTATGTTTCGCACCTTATGATATGGGGTATATATATATAATATATATATATATATATATATATATGATTTTCACGAACCACGTCTATCGACCAACATACGTAATATGCAAACCTAAGACATTCCATCTACTCGGTACAACTCAACTAAAGCGTGAACTATGTTGTAACAAGTGCAACTTCTGTAATGTGTACATTACCATGTGTATACGTGAGATGTGTTTCCTTATTCCTGACTGCAACATCTATTACAAAACAACATGCTCATCTTTTACTCGCATAACAAAAACGATCATCTCTGTATATAGATTTTATTTTAGCTTTGTGACGGCTATAGTTAAATAGATCACTGCATTACCAATTCATTTTCTCGTCAACAGCTACTCTGTACCTAATCAAAGATATTATTGTATTGTGTATGACTGTCACACCATTATTGTATTTGTAGCATATCTCAATCACTGAATCATCACTGAACATCCGTCAGTGTCATTCATTCCTTTCATTCTTCAAAATTTCAAAACGAATAGTACACACTATTACACATTACAATCTCTTACTTTTTTAACCTTTACGCTGGGCAATTATTTGTTCTACCTATTCTTGAAAAGTTAAAACTTTAGAGGAGAAAATTTTGAAACTCGACCAAGACTTTAACTAGTCTGTCAAATGTATACAAGAATACTGTGGAGCATCGTAATAAAACAGAATAAATTCTACTAGCATACGGATTGAAGTCGAATCCCGTAGTGAATGAATATACGGCAGTGTAAAGGTTAAAACTTTCCTACGAGCAGTCGAAACTTCCCTAAGCGAAAGGCCATCTAACGTGGTACGTGGAAAAACGCTAGGTTTTCTCTTCGTGCTTTTAAAATTTACGATCTAGAGTAAGTTTTGTAAAAAATATCCCTTAATCACTTTGATGTAGGATTAATTAGTGCGGTGCCTATAAAATATTACAGCGAGACCAACAAAACAGTAACGATGTATGACGCAGTAATATGAATTGGTGATATCTCAACCATAAAATTCAGACTTCGCTATTCATTATATTCAAAAATTCAAAACAATTTGTCGTTAAGCTCGATTGCTTGAAAGATTATACTCATGTAATGAAACGAAGAAGAAAAGAAAACGAAAAAGAAATAAGAATATGTGCACCAAGTGTTACATCGTTGACAATAACGTCAAAAAATATCGTATATATATATATGTATATATGCCTCCATGCATATAATAATTTACCAAAAGTTTCCATGAAACACGATTCGCGAGCGACCCCTTAAAAGCTATTTACAGAAATGAATAGCAACACACGTAGGCTTCTGCTGTATCAACTGTTGTCCTTGAGCATGCCCCTAAATACCATCGAACATCTACCACCCACAGGGTTATTTGTCAGACATTCTTTAATGCAATGAAGAACATAAAAAATGAACGTGTATGGTGTATGTGTCCATCAATATACCAGCAGCAAAAGGAGTACAACGTCAGAGGCATACGTTGCTAAGAAAAGGACGGCCTTGACATTAGAACTGTACCGGGATGTGTGTCCCTGTGGTGAAGTACTCGTAATGAAGCTTATTGAATGTTACAACAAACCGCTCTGCATGGTATAGGGCCTTCACCCTCCTGTCCATACAACGTTCGTGATTTAAAAACCTTAGAATCAATGGTCAAAAATGGAGCCTTCCCAGTGTAACAGCTTTCATATACCTCAAAAGCTTCATCAATAGGTATGTTACTCGTATCGTTTCCCTTTTCTTTTATAACTTCTGCTTCTGATTCCTCAGAACGATTTGGCACTGAATCTATATTTATTTTGGAGTTCAAATCCTCCTCTATGCTAGTAGCACTTTCTCGTGCCAATCTATAGTACTTCTGTACGTAATCCATGTTGACTTGCTTAAGGTCGATGTTATCCTCTTCACCAGCTTCACCCTCGCAGGATACACCTCGACATTGTAACACCTTCTTTGGGGTTATCACAGGTTCAATTGTCTCAGCCTCCCAACATTCCAGTACATCAAGCTCTTCTATACTATCCAGGGATAATATTCCACTGGCGTTCTCCTCTTCAACACTGCTGCTCCTTTTCTCTCTGTTTCTAACCGTCTCTTTGGTTGTTTCACTCTTGACTGCTTTAACATCTATGGAAGCATTATTGTTCCACAGTGTCTCATACACAGAAGTCGTCAACAACTTGCCGTCTTCGGATACTACAATCTCCCCCTTCTCAAATGTCTTCACGTTCACAGTATCCTCAACAATTCCATTCTCATTCTTATTATTCTCATCCTCTACACGCTTTATCTTTTCATTGTTGTTCACGAGATCTTCGTTGGATCTTCCTACTCCCTGTCTTTTCGTTCGCCTTGCATTGACCCTCTTCGAGTCCATCCGAGAATTTGATGCAACCCTCATATCCGCAACGCTATCCACCTCAGTAAATTCGCAAACGTCACCAACGTCTTTCGCCGAGTTTTTCTTTTTATTGACGGAGTCATCTTGCTGACCACAGGAGTCCGATGACGATATCACTTCATCCAGCTTCCCTTCCGCATGCCTAACCCGTCTTCGTTCCCCCGATCTCTTTTTATTGTCTTTTTTCTTTCTCGACCCGCTATTCATAATATCTGGCTGCTCTAAACCCTTGACGTTGTTGATCCTTGCGAACTCACTGCAGCTAGCTGTACGCGACAATCCTAGATTGTCTACACCGCTATTAACAGATAGTGCAGGTATGGGGTTGCCTTCCAAGTTTTTTGGCGGCTCTTCAACCTCATCCTCATTCTCCGTCTCATTGTCCGAGATGCTGGATGTAATGAACATCTCCGGGGAGTTTGCTTTGCGAAGCCACTGTGTCACAGCTTCTGTGATTGGATATTCAGAGTGCTTCGTTTGACTCTCAAACCCTGAATCATCGTTCGAAGCTTCGATCGGGTCCTCGTTGCTCAGATGATTGCATACAGATTCTGACATGCAATTGCTGGACACCTCGTTGTCGTCAGTCTTATCGCGTTCGAATATCGAATCCTCTTTTATGAAATTGCTTGGGCTTACGTTATTCAGACTCTGTGTTGCGTCGTTCACCTTCTCGAGATCCAGCTCTACAGTACTGTCCAGATCCGGACCGGGAGTCGGCTCCCTTACAAACTTAGTACCCTTTGTACTATATTTTCTCTTTGGTAATGATGACTTAGCGTTGGTTAAGGATTCGTGGTTCTCTTCTTTTTCTGGTTTCTCCGTGGAGACAGTCTTTGGTGTACCTGATCTGGAACGTGTTCGTTCATCGTTGTGCAACGATGATGTCTTCGATGTCACAGCCACGGTTGTGTCCTCGTTGTTCGAGTCAGAATCTAATTTCCCGTTCACCAGGCTGATCTCTTCCATGACTCCGTTCACTTCTTCCCTCGATCGTTCGTATGAGTCGTTGGCATTCGATAAATCGCTCGGTGAATCGTTGATGTTGTTGCTCAACGACGAAACAACTTCCGTGGCGGAGTCGTTCGCCGATTGCGTATCCTCTTTTCCGGTGAGGTGATTCGTCAGTCTGTTCGTCTCACTGTTCTCATCCGCCACTTGGAGCGGATCCGATTGAATTTTCGATGGTAGCCTGACGATTTCGTTAGAACTCTCGCCAACTAGTTCATCTTCACTGTTCTTCGAATCATTGGCAACGCCGTTACAAGGCTCGTTGTTCTTATCGATAGTGTTAGACGATAACGTGCCGAGCTGGTTCGTGACTGAATCTTCCTCGGAGATCGGTGTGTCGGCGGAAAATGAAATATCAGGATCACCGATTAAACGCGACTGAAACTCCTTGCAATCGGGTTTCAGCGTTCGGGCGCTAGTCGTTGTCGTCGTCGAAGTTGGACACCCTGTCCAAGACAGTCGGGAAGACGCTAAATCAGTATCACATTCTGAGCTGTTCTCTCCTTCTTCCTCGTCCTTCGTGTTACCCTAGATTTTGAAAAGATTGTTAGAATATTGCACTTGGATTACGTTATGTTTAATTCAGCGATATTACAAATTCATAGATCAATTTCTAATTCTAACCTTCTACAGTTAAATAAACGTTGACTCATTGATGATTCATTTTTCTATTCTATCCTATTGCACTATATTTTACTGCAGCAAAATATATACTAATATATTCCTCAGACTGTTATATCATAAACATATTAAATATTAGAACTAAAAAGAAAATATAAAGAAGACAATAAAAAGATAGCTTGTGCTTCAAATTTAAAGAATCATAAAATATCTAGAAGATTTTCAGTTTATAAGCAGCTATTGCATCAGACGCATTTTGAAGCGAATAAAGTCAAATCTGCGAAGTTTTATAAGATTGCGAAAGATCATCCAGTATGTTCTCAACCACTGTCGTTTGTTGTCGAACTTCAGGCTCTAAGTAAGGAAACACGACTTAAGAAATTTAACTCTAATATTTACCGTAACAAGTGTCTGATTGTTTCTCTTTTTCTTCTTTTTTCGCCTGCCACAGCCTGCCGACATAACCGCCACGTCCGTAGTTCTGATCATTGGTCCGCACTGTATGGTAACACCTTGGACAGTAGAAACGCTTTGCATTACATTTCCATATAAAAAATTATACGTACAGTTTGGTGAATATTAACAAAAAAATAGGTCTCCAGAGATCCGACCAAGTTTTACCAGGTTGAATTCGGAAACAGCAACGAGTATGATGCGCCAAAGGGCGCGAAGACTGAACTTGGCTTTTCCCTCGCTCTTTTACCTCGCAGCAAACAGCTCAGTGCAGAGTTACTATTTTAAGACGCTTCTATTTAGAGGCACAGCGCACTCGAGTTCTGCAAATTCACTCTTAACGCCCGTTGGCTGCGGCCGAAACATATTTCTAACATTAAATGTCGATGGAACAGCGGCATCCTCGTGATCATTATGAGTCAATGGACTCCTAGGTGAAACGCCATTTTCCTGTGCAATGTGCTAGCCATAGTGCTGTGGAAAGTTACGTTGATACATATGTACATAAATTAGAATTATGGTGAGAAATGATTCAGAATATTAGACGTATGCAGACACACACACCGAGCGTGTATTTACAGACTCTTGACTTTAGGTACGATCGTCGGACCATTGGAACATAAATATTAATAACTATTCGCTGCGATTTAATACATTCACTCACATTTTAGAGAGAAACTTTCCTCAAATAGCACTGTTTAATCTTTCATCATCAAATGTTCAATCCTCTTAACTTGGCCGCTGCGTCAATTTATCGTCCTTGAACTGATACATAGTTCTACGTTTCATAATAAATATCGGTAATGAATCGCTCATTTGTCTTGACCAGTACCAATTATTTCTTTAACAAATGCTATTTACCATTTCAAATTTAAGAAACCACTATACTTTAAATCTGTTCCTTTCATTTTATTTGTTGTCTCTTTTAATTTATTCTTCAAATATTCTTTAAGTAGTCTCTAACTAAGGCAAGTATCACCCCATGAAATATAGCATTTACACTTCAATTTAATATATAAGTAATTGGCAGCGTTGTTAATTTTCATTTACAAATATACAAGACAAATATAATAATCTATTCGTGTGGAAACACTTTGTAGGTAGTAAATTTTCCCTTTTCTGTCGGTGGTCCACGCGACACAGGTGATGTCCAAAGTGACAATATCAATGGTCCCGGGTCCTCAGCGATCGTGTCTAAAGAGAAGCATGTCTTTTCGAATTATTACCTTTTACCTTGAATGTGGTAGAGGCACGTCGGTAATAAAACAGCAATGATGCCGATGGACGGGACAGCAGTCGTGAATCTGGGTATATCCCTTTCCTCTCGCCGCGCATCCAACCGACACTGTTCTCATTTAACATTAGAAACAGGTACAATCAAACGTACTAATGTCTAAACTGACACAGTGTGCGGGGAAGGAGCATTAGACGCATCCAAGGCTTGCAATACATCAACTGTTACTTTGTACCTTCCGTTCTCCATTAAATATAGGTTCTTGGCCGCCAATGTGGGTTCACATGTGTTTGAGAATTAAATCATGTTATGTAATATTCTGCTTCCGACACTTTTGAGACATTGGCGCTTATCAATTAAATCCGGCTGATTGTCTGGTTGCTTTTCGTCGAGCTCATGATAGACTTGACAAATTACACGAAATTTATTATGGATACATAGTAGTTAATCTATCAGTGCTTAGTTGGTTAACGAACCATAATAATTACCGTTAAATTAATTTTTTAAATAAAATTGCCCAAGACAAAAATTACTTCATGCACTCGTGTTCATTAAAATGAGAAAAATGAAAGTTAACGTGTGAACGTATCAAATTGGAAAGTTACAAAATATATTTTGTAATATTTGCAAAGAATTCACGTTTGAGTACTGTTCAATGTGCGGTTACTGTACATCCAGCATACAAACATCCACAAAGATCAACCTTGAACTACCATGTATCCATAAATATTAATTAGCCCTTCAATACTGAATAAAGAATCAAAGCAAATACCAATAAAACTCTTCTAAAAGTCACAAGTATATTCTCAAGCACTTCATCAAATCAGATTCTCTGATTATTAAATAGTTCATCAACCAATGTTCGTATTATCGACCAACCCAGTCTTGACTAAATCAAAACAACGGGTAAATCGAGGCAAGATGGCCTACTTTTTTTCAAAGACCTATTACATCATAACTGTCATTAATACTTTATAAAAAGGAAATATATCTATGAACCTAAGTATATACAAACAGACTACCCAAGTATACTTCTATCCAAGAATGAGTATACTAAAAACAATTGAGAACATAGATATTTGACGATCTAAATGAGATCACGCCATCTCACTCAGAATTACCCTAACACAATTGGAAACTTCGAATCTTTCACGGATTCCAAGTTTCAACAGACGAACCCGGCATCGACCGCAAAGAGAAAGGTGACGAATTGCACACTGCTCCCTCCCCAGCGCTTCGCTTTTGCGCAGAGATTCTCTTAGCCGCAAGAAAAGGAATCTTTTACTTGTGCCCGTCCGTTGTTCCGTCCATCTGTCCGTAAACAGAACGAAAACCTACGGCGGAGAGCGAGGCAGAATCTAGCCGCAATAAGGGTTGTAGGGGGCAAGGTTAGGCCTAGTACAAATAGCAATCGCCGGGGATCCCTCATCGACGACGCAAAGAGAGAGTCCGAACGATCTCCATTATCAACTAACCATTCACGTTGACCAACGGCGGGCCGAACATGTAATGGCCGGGGTACATGTACGGTTGCGGGACCGCCGGCAACACGTGCGACATGTGAACGGGCTGCTGCATCAGCATCGGCTTCATGTACGCCAGGTCGTTCATCCCGTTCATCAGACACTGTTCTTCCACCTGCTCCTCGAACTGATAATCCACGTCGATCTGATCCTTGCTAGGGATGCCGACCACCTCCGCCGGCTGCTCCTCGCCCTCGCCGGTCACGCTGCCGCTGCAACTGACGCTACCGGTGCCGCTCTCGTTGCACGTGCCGTTCGTGTTCTCCAACGGCACCAACGCGCCCTCCTCCTCTTCTATCACGGCGCCCTTAGAGTCGTGATTCGGGAGGCTGCCTCGAATGGCGGGATTCAGGGACTGCGTACACTTGAAACATCAAGTTTTTTAGAGACAAGATTCGCGTAAACGTTGTTTGAAGCTATTATGCTTTCATGCAAGATTTGATCGAACAGTTTTTAATAAGGATTCCACTGCAGTGAAGCTTAACCCCTTGTCTTAGTCGTGTCAAAATTTTAAACTGAATTTGAAAAATCTAAGTTATTCATTTCTTAAAGATATAAATTGAGTATTAATTTTCTATTATCAATCGGTAAACTTTGGAGTAAACGTAAACGTAGAATAAACATCCAAATCTCTTCTTTTACTAATTAATTATTAACGATAAAAGTAGTCGTATCGATTATAGTTCAGAAATAAATCATAGGGCAAGGGGTTAACACGTTCGCTACCAGCGTCACATATTTGTGACAGGCGCAATCTTTTATTTTACATAAAGCAAATGAAATTAATCTTATAGATATTGTTATTTAAAGCTATAAACTACAGTATTATATTTAGGAACTCATCAACCTGTTCCAGTTTCATTTTCTCGATATTTTGTTTAGAAGATTTATTGGATTGAATAAAATATTACAATTGAGGAGGTCCTCACCGAAATAAACGCTGGTAGCGAATGTGTTAAAGAGGATCTTGAGACTGTTGCAGAGATCTGATTGGTATTTACCATAGTGTTTTTCCTTGTGAACGAGACGTCTAGGTTACTAAAGTAAAATTTGCGGGTTTTTCGAGAAATTTCACCCTCGTTCTAATTTCTCTGAGATACAGTGCAGAAATGGAATTCGATATGAACACGACTAGTCTGTTAATCTAGTGCCAAAGGGAGATACTTATACCTAGATTGTGGAAAACTGTTCGAGCAAATGATGAAACGCTTCGTTAATTGGTAGAGTACCTGGTAGTTCATGCAGTACGGTTGACCGGACAATTTGGGCACGAACGCTGGATTGATCCACTCGATCGGCCTTAGAGGCACTGGTCCGCAGGCAACGGCGGCCGTGACATCCGGCCCCATCGGAGTCGGTACCATCGTAGGACCGAACAACATCACCGGGTACTCGTAATAGTAACCAGTGGCATGGTCGTAAAATGTACCGTAACCCACTTGCGCGTTGGACCCCACCACCACCGGGTTCTCGCTGGTTCCGCAGTCCAATAGCTGCTGATCCTCGGTCGTTTCGCTACCATCTGTTACGTACCACGAAGAATAAAATGTACCAAGATTTGCACGAGGCAATTAGCTTTGAACATCCTACTAACACTGATACTGCCGTATCATCTGAATTCTGGTTGCTCCAGAAATGGAAATGAACTTTATAATTGACTGTATTATTATGAAGTAAATAGATTGTATTATTAAACAATCAATATTATAATAACTGATTGTATTTTAAATTGTGTTGACGTTACAGTGAATATGGCTGACGGCCACGATGTGCCACATCGACGTTCGAGAGCGGCAAATTCAAAGAGGAACTACTAAAAAGGGAAATTTCAATACTGGAATATGGGGGAATGTTCGGGATAGTTCGATTGGGATCAGTTTCCGGTTGAGAAGCGTTAAAAGATATCGAGCGGCACATCTGTGACGTTAGTCATTTAATGAATAACTTACGATTTCAACGAAATTCTCAAGATTGTGTGGTTAGTAACACAATTTACTAAGTGATTAAAAACTAAGTCACAGCGATGATTATGTGGACAGGGAAAAGATACTCCTCGAAACTGATTCCCTTCTCTAGATGATCGCCAGTTCCTTTCTTCGTCTCCTTAACGTTTGAAGGACTAGGGCCAAAAGGGTCGACAAAAAGGGAAAGAAATGGAAAACGGAGAAAAACCGAAGGGACAGAAACTCGATGAAATGCTTTACGCTTCTACCTATACCTCTACCTGCGGTGGAATGCGAAGCTGATTGGCTCTCAGTGGTCGACGGGGTGGCGCTAGTGCTCGCATTCTCCGCCCACGGTTTCTTCTGCAATAAGTAGCTCTTTTTAAACAGAATGTCCTGTCTAGGCGTCGTCACCCTCGTGTACTCGTCCTCGTTGAAAACCATCTTCGGTTGGGACGACGAGCCCGCGGAGTCGTCCCTGTGCGGCCGCGTCCCGCCGCCATTGTAACCGCTGCTGCTACCGCCGTTCGAGCCCTCACGCGGTTTGTACCCGGTGCCCTGACCATTACGCTTGAACGTGTGCGCGCTCGGGTCGTTCTCCCGGCCCTTCACCACGTAACCGTTCCGCAATCCTTCCTTCTCGTCTTCCTCGTCCGGCGGAGCTGTTAACAGATTTACCAGGTTATCAAATTTTTATGGTTTCCGATAGTTATACGGCTCTGTTTTATTAGGGTCGTGTCTAAAAGTTGGAGGGGCACTTACGGAAGTATTGAAACGATGGAAGAGGTCTTTTCTATATATTGGAATTTTTTTAAATTGTCTGAAAGATGCGTCTAAAAAAGAGATTCATCGAAGTGTTACCCTGCGTGCTGATTTGAAAATTGTAGAGAACATTTATTTGAGTTTCTTTAACACGTTGACCGCCACGGTGGTCACCGATGACCGGAGCTTCGAAACAGCTTGAAAACAATTATAATAAGACAATTGATATAGAATAAAAATTTTTAGTAACATAAGCAGGTAGATAATAGCGTAATATGAGTACTGTAGTGCCAAATCATTACTAATTACTTCTAATACCATTTGCTTTTACTACGGAGGAATAAGGATTACTATATCAAAACGCTCGAAATTCTCGTGGCAGTCAAAATGTTAGGCAAAATACGAAACTTCTATAGCGAAAGAGTGTTTCTCCAATTTTACTTTCAAACTTATAGAGTCGATAATTATAAAAATTATGATGTTCAGGGAATACTCGTGAGATGGATAAAATTCTATAACATCACACCAGTACCATATTCGGGCATGTCAGGATTAACCTCGCAAAACGCAAACGTGCGGCGTTAAACTCTAAAATTTAGCGCAAATTTAGCGCAATTTTACCGTGCTGACATCAGCCGTGAATATTCGTGGGAGAAAAACGACGCAAGCGTGTTCTCCGAGATAAGACTGTCATTTGAACGGGCACGACCGAGTTTCGTTACAAGAGGAATTCGTCACCTGAGTAAGTATATTAACGCCTGGTGGCTACTATCTGGGCTCTTCGAGTATCAAAGCCTCGCTAATACAAGCACTCACGCGAACGGTAATCCGCGTTACTGATAACAGGAAACACGAGAGTGAGGTGCACGAAAAATCCCACTCGACATTCTTTGACCAACTTTATGTTTGGTCACGGCCATTAACCCCGCGAACTCGGTGAAAGTTTCGATTCATAGGAATCTCGAATTTTCATCTTCGAGACGACAATCTTGCCAGAAGTATCTGTGACCGTACAGATCTAATCTCTTCGGGTTCATCGGAACTGACAAAACAAGTCTGAACCCTCTACTGTCAACCCGCTGTCACGCGTTAGTGCTACTAAGGGACAGCTGCATTAGTGGGAGACGAAGTGTACTCGAACACGGCTACAGACAGTGGTAAATTTACAGTCTGTTCATGCGTGCACTGGCGGCTGCCAACGAAACTGTCGCGCCTACTGACGAAACTCTCGATCTCTATTACACAGTATCACACTGTTATTCTTTCAACCATTCTGACCGTGACTGCGACAAATCTGTTGGCGCGTCTTATAAACTCCGTCGTCTATCAAATTTTCAACGCCCGTTTGCTGTTTTTCCGACCATTAAATAACTTCTAGAACTACGCACAAAATTTGTTTATCATTGCTGTTAAAAGAGAAGCTCTATTTTCACTGTAGCCGACGCTATTATACAATCTCCTTTTTCTTTGAATCTTTCAAAATTGAACATTTCTTCGAGGTCCTACACAAACGTTATTATAGTTATTTAATAAACAAGATCAAACAAATGTCTATTAAAAAATGTTACAATAAATCACTATAGTACGTTTGTCTGTTTATAAATGAAGCGTAAAAGAAACGAATCTTCGCGTGACAGTTTAGCCGCCATGTTTACGCCGCCAGTAC